TCACCCCCGGTGTCACAGTGTCACACATACACACAGCAGTGTCACACACACACCCGGCAGTGTCACACACACGCACACCTGGCAGTGTCACACAGTGTCACACACCCGGCAGTGTCACCCCCGGTGTCACAGTGTCACCCGTCCCTCACCTGTAGCGCTGCCGTTGCTCTCTCAGGTGTCGCCGGCGCTGCCGCTGCAGCCGCGGGTGTCGCTCCATGGCCGGCGTGGTGGCTGCGGGGACACCGCGGGGACAGCGTCACAGCTGTCACCAGGTGCGTCCCCACCCCGCCAGGTGTGCCCCAGCTGTCCCCAGGTGTGTCCCCAATGTCCCCAACTATCCCAGCTGTCCCCAGGTGTGTCATTAATGTTCCCAGATATCCCAGGTCTCCCCAGGTGTGTCATCAATGTCCCCAGGTGTCCCAGTGGTCCCCAATGTCCCCAGGTGTGTCCCAGGTATGTCCCCAGTGTCCCTGCTGTCCCCAATGTCCCTGGTGTCCCCAGTGTCCACGGTGTCCCCAATGTCCTCAGGTATGTCCCCAGTATCCCAGTGTCCCCAGGTGTCCCTGCTGTCCCCACTATCCCTGATGTCCTCATTGTCCTCAGGTATGTCCCCGGTGTCCCCGATGTCCCCAACTGTCCCGGTGTCCCCAGGTGTGTCCCCGTGTCCCACCTGTGCCCTCGGGCAGCTCCCAGGTGCCGTAGCCCTGCAGCCAGCGGTAGCAGGGGAAGTGGAAGGGGCCCAGAGCAGTGACGTCATCGGGGTCACCTGCGGGGACAGCGCTGTCACCTGGGGTGACGTCACCCAGAGGGGCACAGGCGTCACCTGTGGGGGTGATGTGACCTGTGACGTCACAGGTGTCACCTGTGGGGGTGACATCACCTGTACTGGCACAGCTGTCACTTTCACAGGTGCTGACGTCACCTGTGCCATCACAGTGTCACCTGTGCCACCAGTGTCACCCATGCCCTCAGTGCCACCTGTGTCACCACAGTGCCACCTGCAGTGTCTCCGCCCTCACCTGCGCTGGCAGTGCCGATGTCACCCTCGGTGTCACCCTCGGTGTCACCCTCGCTGTCCTCTGGCTCCTCCTCCAGCTCCTCCTCCTCGGTGTCACCTGTCCCCTCGGTGTCACCTGTCCCCTCCTCCTCCTCCGTCACCTCATCCTCGCTGCTGTCCTCCTCCTCCTCTTCCTCCTCTTCCTCCTCCTCGTCCCCGCTGTCCCCAGCGCTGTCCTCGCTGTCTGAGGTGTCCGGGGTGTCCGGGCTGTCCCCGGGGGTGTCCCCAGGGGTGTCCCCGGGGGTGTCCTCGGGGGTGTCCCCGCGCTGTCCCCACACGGTGACACTCTCCAGGTACCAGGAGCTCTCGGGGAGGCCCCCGCAGGGCTCCTTGTGCACCTGGAGCAGCAACAGGCGGCCCAGGGGACAGGGGACAGCCACGCGGTACTCTGTCACCTGTACGGGGACATTGTCACTGTGTCACTGTCACTGTGTGACTGTCACTGTGTCACTGTGTCACTGTCTCTGTCATTGTCACCATGCCACTGTCATTGTATCACTGTGTTACTGTCACTGTATCACTGCCACTGTGTCACTGTGTCACTGTCATTGTGACTGTCACTGTGTCACTGTCACTGTCACTGTGTCAATGTCACTGTGTCACTGTCGCTGTATCACTGTCACTGTCAGTTTCACTGTGTCACTGTGACTGTCACTGTGTCACTGTGATACTGTCACTGTCGCTGTGTCGCTGTCACTGTGTCACTGTCACTGTATCGCTCTGTCACTGTCACTGTGTCACTGCCACTGTGTCACTGTGATACTCTCAGTGTCACTGTGTCGCTGTCACATGCTGTGCTGTGTCACCTGCACGGTGGGACACCTCTGGGGACATTGGGGACATTGTTTCCAAACTTGGTCACCTGTACGGGGGCACTGGGGACATCACCGTGTCACTGTCACCGTGTCACTGTCACCTTGCTCTGCGGCCACTGCCACTGCAGTGTCACTGTCACCGTGGCTGTGCCACCGTTGCTGTGTCACCATTGTCATTGTGACTGTGCTACGACTGTACCACGGCTGTGTCACCAAGGCATGTCACTGTTGTCACCATGGCTGTGTCACCATTGTCACTGTGACTGTGCCACCACTGTCACCATGGCTGTGTCACTGTTGTCCCCATGGCTGTGTCACCATTGTCACTGTGACTGTGTCACCATTGTCACCGTGACTGTGTCACCATGGCTGTGCCACCACTGTCACCATGGCTGTGTCACTGTTGTCACCATGGCTGTGTCACCATTGTCACTGTGACTGTGTCACCATTGTCACCGTGACTGTGTCACCATGGCTGTGCCACCACTGTCACCGTGGCTCTGTCACTGTTGTCACCATGGCTGTGTCACTGTTGTTGCCATTTGTCACTGTCAATTGTCACTGTTGTCACCATGGCTTGGCTGTGTCACCATTGTCACTGTGACTGTGTCACCATTGTCACCGTGACTGTGTCACCATGGCTGTGCCACCACTGTCACCATGGCTGTGTCACCGTTGTCACCGTGACTGTGTCACCGTGGCTGTGCCACCATTGTAACTGTGACTGTGCCACCACTGTCACCAAGGCTGTGTCACTGCTGTCACCATGGCTCTGTCACTGTTGTCACCATAGCTGTGTCACTGTTGTTGCCATGGCTGTGTCACCATGGCCAGGTCACCGTTGTCACTGTGACTGTGCCACCATCGTCACTGCGACTGTGCCACCATGGTTGTGTCACTGCTGTCACCATGGCTGTGTCACCATGGCTGTGGCTGTGCCACCATTGTAACTGTGACTGTGCCACCACTGTCACCAAGGCTGTGTCACTGCTGTCACCATGGCTCTGTCACTGTTGTCACCATAGCTGTGTCACTGTTGTTGCCATGGCTGTGTCACCATGGCCAGGTCACCGTTGTCACTGTGACTGTGCCACCATGGCTGTGTCACCATTGTCACCATGGTTGTGTCACCATGGCTGTGTCACTGCTGTCACCGTGGCTGTGTCACCATGGCTGTGTCACTGCTGTCACCGTGGCTGTGTCACCACGGCTGTGTCACTGCTGTCACCATGGCTGTGTCACCATTGTCACCATGGTTGTGCCACCATGGCTGTGTCATTGCTGTCACCATGGCTGTGTCACCATGGCTGTGCCACCACTGCCACCATGGCTCTGTCACTGTTGTTGCCATGGCTGTGTCACCACTGTCACCATGGTTGTGTCACCACGGCTGTGTCACTGCTGTCACCATGGCTGTGTCACCATTGTCACCGTGCGTGTGCCACCATGACCGTGCCACCATTGTCACCGTGGCCGTGTCACCATTGTTGCCATGGCCGCGTCACCACTGTCACCAACACGATGTCACCGTGGCAGTGTCACCACTGTCACCATGGCTCTGCCACGACTGTCACCAGGGCCGTGTCACCACGGCTGTGCCACTGCCGCTGCGTCACTTTCGCTGCGTCACCGTTGTCACCATCGCCGTCACCATCATCAGGACACCGTTGTCACCGCTGCCACCTTCGCTGTGTCACCACCACCAGGCCACCGTCACCGTGCCACCACCACCGTGCCACTGCCACCACCGACACCCCTGGGGGACAACGCCACCGGTGTCACCACTGCCACTGTCATGGTGTCACCACTGTCACCGTGTCACCGCTGTCACTGTGTCACCACTGCCACTGTCATGCTGTCACCACTGTCACTGTGTCACCATTGTCACTGACATGGTGTCACCAGTGCCACCTCCATTGTGCCACCACTGCCACCGTGTCACCATTGTCACCGTGCCACCGTTGTCACCATCCCTGTCCCACCATTGTCACACTGTGTCACCACTGTCGCTGTGTCACTGTTGTCACTGTGTCACCACTGTCACTGTGTCACCACTGTCACCATTGTCACCGTCATGGTGTCACCAGTGCCACCTCCATTGTGCCACCAGTGTCACCACTGTCACTGTGTCACCATTGTCAGCCCTGTCACCATCACTGTGTCACTGCTGTCACCTCCATTGTGTCACCATTGTCACCATTGTCACTGTGTCACCATTGTCACCATTGCCACCGTGTCACCGCTGTCACCATGCCACCGTTGTCACCATCCCTGTGTCACCAGTGTCACTGTTATGGTGTCACCAGCGTCACCGCTGTCACCGTGTCACCATTGCCAGTGTCACCATTGTCCCACTGTCACTGTGTCACCATTGTCACTGTGTCACCATTGTCACCCTTATCACTGTCACGGTGTCACCAGTGTCACCGTGTCACCATTGTCACCCTTATCACTGTCACGGTGTCACCAGTGTCACCGTGTCACCATTGTCACCCTTATCACTGTCACGGTGTCACCAGTGTCACCGTGTCACCATTGTCACCCTTATCACTGTCACGGTGTCACCAGTGTCACCGTGTCACCATTGTCACCCTTATCACTGTCACGGTGTCACCAGTGTCACCGTGTCACCATTGTCACCCTTATCACTGTCACGGTGTCACCAGTGTCACCGTGTCACCATTGTCACCCTTATCACTGTCACGGTGTCACCAGTGTCACCGTGTCACCATTGTCACCCTTATCACTGTCACGGTGTCACCAGCGTCACCTCCGTTGTGTCACCATTGTCGCCGTGTCACCATTGCCAGTGTCACCATTGTCCCACTGTCACTGTGTCACCATTGTCACCCTTATCACTGTCACGGTGTCACCAGTGTCACCTCCGTTGTGTCACCATTGTCACCATTGTCACTGTTATGGTGTCACCAGTGTCACCGTGTCACCATTGTCAATGTGTCACCATTGTCACTGTGTCACCGTCCATTGTCAATGTGTCACCATTGTCACTGTGTCACCGTTGTCACCCTTGTCACTGTCACGGTGTCACCAGCGTCACCTCCGTTGTGTCACCATTATCACCGTGTCACCGTTGTCACCATCCCTGTGTCACCCTTGTCACTGTCACGGTGTCACCAGTGTCACCTCCGTTGTGTCACCAGTGTCATCACTGTCAATGTGTCACCATTGTCACCATCCCTGTGTCACCATTGTCACTGTCACGGTGTCACCAGTGTCACCTCCGTTGTGTCACCATTGTCACCACTGCCACCGTGTCACCATTGTCCCACTGTCACTGTGCCACCCGTGTCACCCTTGTCACCGCCACTGTGTCACCACTGTCACCCTCACCGTCACCTCCACTGCGCCACCGTTGTCACCATTTCCGCGTCACCGCTGTCACCTCCCTCGTGTCACCACGGCTGTGTCCCCACTGTCCCCTCCCTTGCGTCACCGCTGCCACCCCCGCTGTGTCCCCGTTGCGTCACCGCTGTCCCCGGTGTCCCCAGGGCCACCCACGCAGTGTCACCCGCCCCGGCCACGCCCTGGGTGTCACCCAGCGTCCCCTCCCCCTCAGCCCGGTCCCTTTTGGGGACATTTGGGGACACCTGGGGCCCTTCTGGGGGGGGTTGGGACATACAGCCCCCCCCAAGTGTCCCCAATCCCCCCCAAGTGTCCCCAAATGTCCCCAGAACCCCCTAATGTCCCCAAACCCTGCCCAAATGTCCCCAAATCTCCCCTAAATGTCCCCAAATCCCTCCCAAATGTCCCCAAATCCCCCCAAGTGTCCCCAAATCCCCCCCAAATGTCCCCAAATCTCCCCTAAATCCCCCCAAATGTCCTCAAATCCCCCCAAATGTCCCCAAATCCCCCCAAGTGTCCCCAAATGTCGCCAAATCCCCCCCAAATGTCCTCAAATCCCCCCAAATGTCCCCAAATCCCCCCCTCCCCTCAGAGCCGCCCCCTCCCCTCGGCCGCCCTCGCCCCCCGCCCGTCCCTCACCGCCCCGCAGTGGAAGTCGGGTCCCCATCGGTCCAGCGCGGTCCTGGCGCTGCTGCCGCGGCTCCCCACCAGCGTCACGGCGATGGCGTCGCTGGTGCCGGCGCCGGGAGCGGAGCCGGTGCGGACCCGCAGCCGGTAGGCGGCCATGGCGGCGGCAATGGCGGGGGCGCTGCCCTCACGGTGATTGACGCGGGGCGGAGCCAATGGCGGCGGGGCTCACGCGCCGCCGGGCCAATCGGAGCGCGGCGCGGTGAGGCGCGGCCAATGGAGGTGAAGGGAGGGAGGAATGGGCGGGGATAAGCCGTCACTTCCGCCTTCACTTCCGGCGGCGCTTCCGGGTGCGATGGACCCCGAGTTCGACGATGTGGTGGCGGTGGAGGATCTGATGGTGAGGCCACGCCCCCTCCGCGCCTGGACACGCCCCCTTTTGGCTGCCACGCCCACCCCGTGGACCCCCGACCGCCGCGACCCCCCCGGGCCACGCCCCTTTTGCGCCCCCGGCGCCGCCCGGCTTGGCCACGCCCACTCGCCCACGCCCTCTGTGTGGCCACGCCCCTTCGTTGAGTAACCACGCCCTCACCTGCCTTGGCCACGCCCCCTCTGGGACCACCGGGGGCTTTGCTCCGGGGGTTCCGCCCTTTGTGGCCACGCCCATTTATGGCCACGCCCTCCTGTGAGCCCCGCCCACAACGCTCCTTCCCAGTGACCCCCAGGGACTCATCCCAGTGCTCCCAGTAACCCCCAGTGACCCCCCCCAGTGCTCCCAGTAACCCCCAGGCACTCATCCCAGTGTTTCCCATAACCCCCAGTGACCCCCCCAGTGCTCCCAGTAACCCCGAAGTCGGGTCCCCATCGGTCCAGCGCGGTCCTGGCGCTGCTGCCGCGGCTCCCCACCAGCGTCACGGCGATGGCGTCGCTGGTGCCGGCGCCGGGAGCGGAGCCGGTGCGGACCCGCAGCCGGTAGGCGGCCATGGCGGCGGCAATGGCGGGGGCGCTGCCCTCACGGTGATGGACGGGGGGCGGAGCCAATGGCGGCGGGGCTCACGCGCCGCCGGGCCAATCGGAGCGCGGCGCGGTGAGGCGCGGCCAATGGAGGTGAAGGGAAGGAGGGATGGGCGGGGATAAGCCGTCACTTCCGCCTTCACTTCCGGCGGCGCTTCCGGGTGCGATGGACCCCGAGTTCGACGATGTGGTGGCGGTGGAGGATCTGATGGTGAGGCCACGCCCCCTCCGCGCCTGGACACGCCCCCTTTTGGCTGCCACGCCCACCCCGTGGACCCCCGACCGCCGCGACCCCCCCGGGCCACGCCCCTTTTGCGCCCCCGGCGCCGCCCGGCTTGGCCACGCCCACTCGCCCACGCCCTCTGTGTGGCCACGCCCCTTCGTTGAGTAACCACGCCCTCACCTGCCTTGGCCACGCCCCCTCTGGGACCACCGGGGGCTTTGCTCCGGGGGTTCCGCCCTTTGTGGCCACGCCCATTTATGGCCACGCCCTCCTGTGAGCCCCGCCCACAACGCTCCTTCCCAGTGACCCCCAGGGACTCATCCCAGTGCTCCCAGTAACCCCCAGTGACCCCCCCAGTGCTCCCAGTAACCCCCAGAGACTCATCCCAGTATTCTCCCAGTCGCTCCCAGTAATCCCCCAGTGGCTTCCCAGTAACACTCAGTGATTCATCCCATCGCTCCCAGTAACACCCAGTGCTCCCAGTACCCCCCAGTGCTCCCAGTACCCCCCAGTACCCCCAGGGGCGGGGCTAGCTCAGGGGGCGGGGCCTGGTGCGGAGCCGGTACCGCGAGGACACGGCCCGCGGGGTGGCGCTGCTCTCCGGTGAGGGGCGGGGCTAGCTCAGGGGGCGGGGCCTGGTGCGGAGCCGGTACCGCGAGGACACGGCCCGCGGGGTGGCGCTGCTCTCCGGTGAGGGGCGGGGCTAGCTCAGGGGGCGGGGCCTGGTGCGGAGCCGGTACCGCGAGGACACGGCCCGCGGGGTGGCGCTGCTCTCCGGTGAGGGGCGGGGCTAGCTCAGGGGGCGGGGCCTGGTGCGGAGCCGGTACCGCGAGGACACGGCCCGCGGGGTGGCGCTGCTCTCCGGTGAGGGGCGGGGCTAGCTCAGGGGGCGGGGCCTGGTGCGGAGCCGGTACCGCGAGGACACGGCCCGCGGGGTGGCGCTGCTCTCCGGTGAGGGGCGGGGCTAGCTCAGGGGGCGGGGCCTGGTGCGGAGCCGGTACCGCGAGGACACGGCCCGCGGGGTGGCGCTGCTCTCCGGTGAGGGGCGGGGCTAGCTCAGGGGGCGGGGCCTGGTGCGGAGCCGGTACCGCGAGGACACGGCCCGCGGGGTGGCGCTGCTCTCCGGTGAGGGGCGGGGCTAGCTCAGGGGGCGGGGCCTGGTGCGGAGCCGGTACCGCGAGGACACGGCCCGCGGGGTGGCGCTGCTCTCCGGTGAGGGGCGGGGCTAGCTCAGGGGGCGGGGCCTGGTGCGGAGCCGGTACCGCGAGGACACGGCCCGCGGGGTGGCGCTGCTCTCCGGTGAGGGGCGGGGCTAGCTCAGGGGGCGGGGCCTGGTGCGGAGCCGGTACCGCGAGGACACGGCCCGCGGGGTGGCGCTGCTCTCCGGTGAGGGGCGGGGCTAGCTCAGGGGGCGGGGCCTGGTGCGGAGCCGGTACCGCGAGGACACGGCCCGCGGGGTGGCGCTGCTCTCCGGTGAGGGGCGGGGCTAGCTCAGGGGGCGGGGCCTGGTGCGGAGCCGGTACCGCGAGGACACGGCCCGCGGGGTGGCGCTGCTCTCCGGTGAGGGGCGGGGCTAGCTCAGGGGGCGGGGCCTGGTGCGGAGCCGGTACCGCGAGGACACGGCCCGCGGGGTGGCGCTGCTCTCCGGTGAGGGGCGGGGCTAGCTCAGGGGGCGGGGCCTGGTGCGGAGCCGGTACCGCGAGGACACGGCCCGCGGGGTGGCGCTGCTCTCCGGTGAGGGGCGGGGCTAGCTCAGGGGGCGGGGCCTGGTGCGGAGCCGGTACCGCGAGGACACGGCCCGCGGGGTGGCGCTGCTCTCCGGTGAGGGGCGGGGCTAGCTCAGGGGGCGGGGCCTGGTGCGGAGCCGGTACCGCGAGGACACGGCCCGCGGGGTGGCGCTGCTCTCCGGTGAGGGGCGGGGCTAGCTCAGGGGGCGGGGCCTGGTGCGGAGCCGGTACCGCGAGGACACGGCCCGCGGGGTGGCGCTGCTCTCCGGTGAGGGGCGGGGCTAGCTCAGGGGGCGGGGCCTGGTGCGGAGCCGGTACCGCGAGGACACGGCCCGCGGGGTGGCGCTGCTCTCCGGTGAGGGGCGGGGCTAGCTCAGGGGGCGGGGCCTGGTGCGGAGCCGGTACCGCGAGGACACGGCCCGCGGGGTGGCGCTGCTCTCCGGTGAGGGGCGGGGCTAGCTCAGGGGGCGGGGCCTGGTGCGGAGCCGGTACCGCGAGGACACGGCCCGCGGGGTGGCGCTGCTCTCCGGTGAGGGGCGGGGCTAGCACAGGGGGCGGGGCCTGGTGCGGAGCCGGTACCGCGAGGACACGGCCCGCGGGGTGGCGCTGCTCTCCGGTGAGGGGCGGGGCTAGCTCAGGGGGCGGGGCCATAGGCGTGGCTAAAGCAGGGGGCGTGGCCCTGGCTGGGCGCGATTCTTGGGGTCCCTGGGGGGGCGATTTTGGGGCATTGGGCCCTTCTCTGGGGAGATTTGGGGGGAAATTTGGGGGTTTTGGGGACCCTGGGATGTTGATGGGGCAGTTTTGGGGTCCCTGTGTGTTTTTGGGGTCCCTGGGTCAGTTTTGGGGTGACTCTCTGTGTTTTTGGGGTCCCTGTGTGTTTTTGGGGTGACTGTGTTTTTGGGGTCCCTGTGTGTTTTTGGGGTGACTCTCTGTGGTTTCGGGGTCCCTGTGTGTTTTTGGGGTCCCCGGGGGTCTCACAGCCCGCTGTGCCCCTCCCCCAGAGCTGCTGCCCGAGACCCCCCCGGAGGAGCAGAGAGACATCCTGTTCTACCTGGGGCTGGGGTACTACCGGCTCAAGGTGGGACATGGGGACATTGGGGACATCGGGGGGACATTGGGGACACTGGGGACACTGGGGACATGGGGACATTGGGGATATTGGGAGGATTGCGGATACATCGGGGACATCGGGGACATTGGGGACACTGGGGACACTGAGGGGACACAGGCAGGACATGGGGGTGACACAGGGACTGTCCCCAATGTCCCCACACGGGTGAGAGAGCTGCTGGCACACCTGGGGTGGGGAGGGGGGCCCAGGGAGGGGACACCCAGGTGACACCCAGGTGACACAGGTGACACCCAGGTGACACCCAGTGACACAGGTGACACCCAGGTGACACCCAGTGACACAGGTGACACCCAGGTGACACCCAGTGACATAGGTGACACGCAGGTGACACCCAGTTGACACTCACCTGTCCCCGCAGGAGTACGAGCGCTCGCTGGAGCACCTGGAGCGGGGGCTGGGGGGCTCGGGGGGGGTCACACAGTGACACAGGTGACACCCAGGTGACACTCACCCAAATGGCCCCGCGGCCCCTCCCCCACCCCGGCCACGCCCGGACAGCGCTGACCAGCGCCGGACACCAGTTCAACCAGTTACACCAGTGCCGGACAGCGGGGACACCAGTGACAGCAGTGACAGCAGTGCCGGACACCAGTTAAACCAGTAAGAACCAGTGACACCTGCACCGGACAGCGCTGACCAGCGCTGGACACTAGTAAGAACCAGTTAAACCAGTGACAGCGGTGACAGCAGTGCCGGACAGCGCTGACCAATGATGGACACCGGGGACACCAGTTAAACCAGTGACACCAGTGCCGGACACCGGTGACAGCAGTGACAGCGGTGACACCAGTGACACCAGTGCCGGACAGTGGGCACACCGGTGACAGCAGTGACCTCCCAGCTGGACACCAGTGACATCCTGACTGGACAGCGCTGACCAGCGCCGGACACCAGTTCAACCAGTTACACCAGTGCCAGCAGTGCCACCAGTGCCAGCAGTGACCAGTGACCAGTGCCAGCAGTGATTGGTGCCAGACGCCAGTGACCACCACCACCGGTGACCAGTGACCAACGCTCCCAGTGCCACCAGTGACCAGTGACCACCAGTGACCAGTGACCAGTGCCCAGCGCTCCCAGTGCCAGCAGTGACCACCAGTGACCACCAGTGACCAGTGCCACCAGTGACCAGTGCCACCAGTGACCAGTGACCACCAGTGCCAGCACCACCAGTGACCAGTGCCACCGGTGACCACCAGTGACCAGCACCACCAGTGACTACCAGTGACCAGCATTCCCAGTGCCACCAGTGCCAGCAGTGATGACCACCAGTGACCACCAGTGACCAGCACCACCAGTGCCACCAGCGCCACCAGTGACCAGTGACCAGTGCTCCCAGTGCCAGCAGTGACCACCAGTGATCAGCACCACCAGTGACCAGTGCCACCTGTGCCACCAGTGACCACCAGTGTCCAGCACTCCCAGTGCCACCAGCACCACCGGTGACCACCAGTGACCACCAGTGACCAGCACTCCCAGTGCCACCAGTGACCAGCACCACCAGTGACTAGTGACCCGTGTCCAGCACTCCCAGTGCCAGCAGTGACCCGTGACCACCAGTGACCAGTGACCACCAGGACAGCGCTGACCAGCGCCGGACACCAGTTAAACCAGTTACACCAGTGCTGGACAGCGGGGACACCAGTGACAGCAGTGACAGCAGTGCCGGACACCAGTTAAACCAGTAAAAACCAGTTACACCAGTGACAGCAGTGCCGGACACCAGTAAGAACCAGTTACACCAGTGCCGGACACCGGGGACACCAGTGACAGCGGTGACACCTGCACCGGACAGCGCTGACCAGCGCCGGACACCAGTTAAACCAGTTACACCAGTGCTGGACAGCGGGGACACCAGTGACAGCAGTGACAGCAGTGCCGGACACCAGTTAAACCAGTAAAAACCAGTTACACCAGTGACAGCAGTGCCGGACACCAGTAAGAACCAGTTACACCAGTGCCGGACACCGGGGACACCAGTGACAGCGGTGACACCTGCACCGGACAGCGCTGACCAGCGCCGGACACCAGTTAAACCAGTTACACCAGTGCTGGACAGCGGGGACACCAGTGACAGCAGTGACAGCAGTGCCGGACACCAGTTAAACCAGTAAAAACCAGTTACACCAGTGACAGCAGTGCCGGACACCAGTAAGAACCAGTTACACCAGTGCCGGACACCGGGGACACCAGTGACAGCGGTGACACCTGCACCGGACAGCGCTGACCAGCGCCGGACACCAGTTAAACCAGTTACACCAGTGCTGGACAGCGGGGACACCAGTGACAGCAGTGACAGCAGTGCCGGACACCAGTTAAACCAGTAAAAACCAGTTACACCAGTGACAGCAGTGCCGGACACCAGTAAGAACCAGTTACACCAGTGCCGGACACCGGGGACACCAGTGACAGCGGTGACACCTGCACCAGACAGCGCTGACCAGCGCCGGACACCAGTTAAACCAGTAAGAACCAGTGACAGCAGTGCCGGACAGCGCTGACCAGCGCCGGACACCAGTTAAACCAGTTACACCAGTGCTGGACAGCGGGGACACCAGTGACAGCAGTGACAGCAGTGCCGGACACCAGTTAAACCAGTAAAAACCAGTTACACCAGTGACAGCAGTGCCGGACACCAGTAAGAACCAGTTACACCAGTGCCGGACACCGGGGACACCAGTGACAGCGGTGACACCTGCACCAGACAGCGCTGACCAGCGCCGGACACCAGTTAAACCAGTTAAACCAGTGACAGCAGTGACACCAGTGACCAGTGCCAGCAGTGACCAGTGACCAGTGACCAGTGCCAGCGGTGATTGGTGCCGGACACCAGTGACCATCGCCACCGGTGACCAGTGACCAGCGCTCCCACTGCCAGCAGTGACCACCACTGGCCAGTGTCCACCGGTGACCAGTGCCACCAGTGACCAGTGC